ACCAGCCCACCTGAGCCTAGGTACCTACCTGGTAGTTGGGGAAGGGGAAGGGGCAGGAGTGAGGGGATGCAGGGCAATTTGGGCTCCACGGAAGATGGTGCTAGAACAACACAGAAGCCAATTAAAGGCAGGGCCTCCGAGTGCACGTGTATGGTTATAGTGGGGAGGGCACCTGGGATTGGGGTGGGGTGGGGGTGGTTTCCTGCTTCAGCCATACCTTTTCTCTCCTTTCTTGGCTGGGACCCAGAAGGGGGTCTTGGAGGCAGGGGGTGGAGCTGGTCACGGGGCTGTCCTTTTTCACTCGCATCCTCCCGCCTCCCTCTCTGTGTCCTCTACTTGCCACACACCTGCCCATGTCATAGAAGGCACTGCCCAGCTCAGGAAGCAGCAGATTGGCTTCTTCACCCCCATTCTGCACGGCTGCCAGGAGGACCAACTTCTCATCTTCAGCCTCCTGGACACCAAAGAAACAGGGCTGGGTTGGGGCTGGGGCCCGAGATGGGGGAACAACGGGGCAACACGCCGGGGTGTTTTGGTGTGGGTTGGGAGGTGAGAAGGAATGTGGGGTGGGGGCAAGAAGGAAGGTGGACTGGGGTGGATTTCGGTTGGTGTTTGCTGAGTGGCCTTGGAAAGAGGCTGGGCACATGCCTGACTTGTCTCCCCTATGAGAAAGAGAGAGCCCCTCTGCACTGGAGGCTGGGGTAGTGGGGTCTGGCCCTTCCCACTCCGGACTGCCCCTGTGAGGGGTCCCCTCAGTGCTCACCGAGTCAGAGCTACTGTCCTCAGCTGGCCCCGAGAGGTGGGGAGCAATGGGGGCTGGCTGGCTGATGACAACTAGGGAAGAAGCCGGGGAGGAGCCTGGCTCTCCAGGCTCGCACAGGCCATAGGCCGGGAGCCTCATGTCTTCCGGAGACTCGTCCTCGGAGTCTGTCAGAGCAGTCGGGCAGCCTGTCGGTGAGGACAGCAGGCAGAGACAGGGTGGGTGTGAGATGCTGCGAGTGGCCCTGTCTCTCCCTGGGTGAACAGAACAGTTACACTACGCAGGACCCGGAGGGGGCTGGAGGGATGGGAGGGAAGCAGGAGAGACACAGAAGGCAGAGGCAGCTCTCAGAGGGGTCACATGGCGCTCCCACCCACGAGGGGGAAGAGGGATCATGAGATTTGGGGGGTGTACAGACTCAGTCCTGCTGCAGCCTCCTCATCCTCTGTGGCAGCGTCTTCGTTCCATTTCTCATCTGCCACCTTCTCCAGGCGGGCCTCCAGCTTCCGCATGTACTCCAGCAGCTCCTGGAGTTGGGGGAGGGCAGGGGCAAGTGCTAGAGGCTGACAGGTGCTCCCCCTCCCCAACTCCCCCACATGTTGGCCAGCAGAACCTTTCCTTAGGAGTGGGGCAGCTTAAGGTACATACCCTGCCTTCCAAGAGTCCTAACTTCCCCCTTTACATCCCTTCCCCCTTCCCTATCAATTCTCCCCCATCCTGCCAAGTCGGGTTAGGAGGAGCCATGGTCCCCTTTTAGCTCCTGGGTGCTCCTAGAGATACCCGTTTCTGAACCAAGTGATGATAGGAAGAAAAAAACGCCTCTAGCTCTCAAGTCCTAGACTCTGGCAGCCGGGGGCCTGGGTCATGGCTCTCACCTGCTTCTCCTCTTGCAGCTGCTCCTTTTCCTTCTGGAACACTCGCAGGGCTGAGCGCAGCTCTGTCAGCTCCCGCTTACTCTCTGACAACTGCACCTGCAGGCAGATGGGCAGCTGGACTCTGGGGCCCGGACCCAATGGCTTGGATCTGGTATCTGCTCGCTCTCACAGCCGTGCTTCTCTCCAGCTCTGTCGCACCCAGAGGGGCAGCCACGTGCTCTTCTTGAAGCACCAGTCCCTGGTCTGGCCCACAGAAGGCTCTACTGAGTCTGAATGACACGTTTCTGGTTAAGAAACAAAGGCCTCGGACCTCCCAGGGTGTCAGGCTGCAGTTCTCCCAAGAGCATAAAGGGCCATGACATGTTTCAGTCAATGAAGGTTACATGTGCGTGTGCAGGTGCGTGCGTGGGTATGTAAGTACACGGCACGGAACAGAAGGTGAACTCCTAACTCTTCTGAGTCCACACTCGAGAAGAGAAGGGGCACTGATCCATCAGGAGGCTGTGGGGCCAGGACTCTGGGGGGGGCTCACCAGGCTAGAGTCCTTTTCCTGGGCCAGTTCTGTCTTGAGGACTTGAAGCTGACTCTGTTCCTCCTGAACTGCCTTCTCCAGGCGAAGGATCTCTGCACTCAGCTTCAGGATCTTGTCCTTCTCTGCCTGGGAGAGTGAGCGCCAGATGAGGGTCAGAGGGGAGAAGCAGGGCTGCCCCGCAGCAGCACCACCGTTCTTCTCTGAGTCCCCCTCCTTTAATTGATGGGACGGAATTTCCTCTTCCGAGGTTCATTCCTTATACCCCCGAGCGCTTTGGAACGGCACGATGGTGAGGCTGGTTAGTGTTTCCGAGTCAAGGGTGGCAATCAAGAGAGGTGCTATGGCGATCAGGGTTAGAGCACCATGCTTAGGGACAGGGCATTCCTGGAAAGAGGAATGTCCCTCAGGCATGCTCCCCCACCCCCACCCCCCAGCCGAAGGCCCCTTTCCTCCCACAGTCTATGCCCACATGGAGGAATCTCTGCTGGACAGGGGCAGTGGGCCACATCACCCCTCATCCCTCTACCTCCATATTCTGCAGCATCCCTGCCCTCTCCTTGCTCCACTGGCTTTTTTCCTCCTTCAAGTGCAGACTGAGCTCTGAGAGCCTGCCGTTGACTTCAGCCACTTCCAGGCGGCTGCGGTGGAGCTCGGCGATGGTGCGGTCCCTGGCTCCTGCTGCACTGGCCAGCTCCTCCCCCAGAAGGGCAGCTTTCTGCTGGCTTGAAGCTGCCAGCTCCTGGGACCCTCGAAGCTGCTCCTTCAAGGGCTCCAGCTCAGCCTCAGGAGGAAAGAAGAGAGGGAGATCAGGGCTCCCAGTGAATCGCTGGTCAACGAGGAAGGGAGCCCGTTTCCCTCCCCTCAACCATCCCTGCCCCCACCCCAACACACACCCACACATTTAGGACTTAGAGTTGTATAGTTTAGTCTTTGAGTATGTGTCTCCCCACCGCCACCCCCCTTTCTTCTGGTCTTCCAGGAGTTTCTACAACAAGTACCTGGTTCCTGTTACCTAGGGGCCTTCACTCACCACTCGCTTCTGGGCCTGGCCTAGGGTGTCCTTCATCTGGGCCACCTTGTCCTTCAGTCTCTTGGCCTGAGCACCCTTCTCCTCCTGCTGGGCCTTGGCCTCCTGCAGCTCCACATTCAAGCGACGGATCTCCTGTTCTGCCTTGTGGAGTGCAGTCTGTTGGTGGTGAAGACAAGGTGTGAGAAGGGAGGCACACACCTGACACTCGGGCGGGGCAGGCAGAGAGGTGGGTCACCGTGGTAGAGGCCCAGGTTCTATTTCTTCTATCTGAGCACAAACTCCAGCAACCAGCTCTTGCCAGCCACCCTGGGTTCTTGCCTCCAAAGGGCTAAACCCTGAATGCACAATCTCCAACTCTTGACATGAGGCATCTAGCTTCTCAGCCTGTGGCCTTTCATGGATCTAACGTGGCCTGCGGATCATTTTCACTTCTCTCAGTCTCTTCTTAAATCAAAATGTATCGCCTGGATGTTCTACAAGCCAATCCAACTCTGCGTTAAGTACACGGATTCAGAATTCCCTTGGCACCCCATCTTCCCCATTCTTATTTCTGTCGATGCTACCTGCCTCCCAAGGCACCCAGGTTCCATGCTGGGCTCCGTTCCCTCCCTGGCAGCCCAGAGAGAAACCCACTGCTTCTGCACCTTCCTTTCGCACGCAGCCATTCTCTACCAACTGCACAATCATGTTTGGCATCTTGATACCCAGTTCCTCTTCTACAAGGCAGCGTGGGAATCTTCCGGCACAGGTCACTGTGTAAACACAGCTCTTCACGCACGCCAGCCACGTGTCACCTCCACTTGAACCGCCCACGATTTCTCAAGCGAAGGCTGGTCTCCAGAGCTCCCACAAGCAGCCTGCGGCCTCCCACAGGTTCTTCTGCCACACACTTACTACTCATCGCCACGGAGTCAACCCGGAGCTGCGTGAACCTGCACTGTCAAGAGTAGAACTGCCCCATGGGGGGGTCTCAGGGCTTTATCGTCTTGACAAAAGTGGCCTGCCACACTGTCTCCTGAGGACTGGTTGGAGCCACCAGCCTTGTGGTTGGTCACTGAGCCCTTAGCCGTGGCACCGCACGCCCACAGTCCCACAGCCCATTGTCTCCGGCATTCCGGACTACAGGCTGCCGGGCATGTGGTCCCCTCTATGCCGACTCTTCTTCACGGCGGGCTGGACACACCATCTTCCATGGACACTGAGGCCTCCCAGGATGTTACTTAAGAACCTGGAACCGGTTTCACTTGGCTTTCTTCTACATCGCTCAAAATGAGGTTTCAAACTCCACATGCCACTCCACAAGTTAAACTGGTGGAGTCCAATCGGCTCCTCATCAGCACATGCTCACGCCCATTCCTTTTGATGCAACCCTCAGGAGGAAGGCCCTGTTCCATTTTGATTGCATCGCAGTCAGCTAAGATTCTAGAGCGGGCTGTTCAATGATTGCTATCACTGGTACCCACTTGTGCATGCCTCGGGTCCTCACTACTGTGCAGTCAAAAGCAAATGCAGAATTGGATGGGCGGCTGAGGACCGCTGTCCATGACCTCCGATTTCAGATGTTAGTGTCCTGCAAAATGACCTCATTGCTTTCATTGACCTTAGAAGTGAGTGCCAGTCCTCTGAGTGTATAACAATTCATTGAAAACATAACTGATAAAAAATGAGAGCGCGCTTTCCTAACGTGCCTAACAAGCTGTACTCTCCTCTGCCCCTTTTGTGCCCACTTCTACTTCTCTCGTGACGTTTAACACAGGAGTGTGACAAGTTCTGAGGTGGGTATATGTCTTATCTCGCCTAGCAGGGGGCACACCATCTCTCCTTTCCAGTTTCATCCTTTTTGGCACGTAGCACACACAAGGGAGGCAATAAACACTGGGCGGCCAGTTGAGAAGCAAACCTACGCCGAGTCCCTTACCTCGCTTTGCTCCTTGTCTGCGTGGACGTCCTTCAGTTGCCCAAGGAGCTTCTCTTGTTCCCGAGTCAGGGCCTTCACGGTGTCTCTGACCCTGGGAAGGACAGAGGGAGGGCAGCAGGTCAGGGATTTGATGAGTCACTCATGACAGGAGTTGGGCGTCTGTCTTAAGTTCTGTCTTCAGTGCTTCTACTGGTGTCCCTCCAGGCTCAGAATTCCACTGGGCTCTAGGATGGCTCAAACCCCCAAACTAAGCTGATTCGGTCTTAAGCTCCAAGAATCAAGATTCTTGGCTGCGGAACAATCTCTAAATAAAAGTTCTCCTTTTCCTGTTAGGTGCCGCTTTAAGGAATGTTTTGGCGGATGGCTTCTCGGTTTTCATTCTAGAGATACGGCATCCAACCTTTTCGTGACAACAGCAGACACTACTGATTCGAAACTTTGGTCTAGAGTAGAAGTTGGCGATGTTTTTCTCAGTAAAGGGTCCAATCATAGGTAGTGTGGGCTTGGTGGGCCGTGCAGTCCCTGTGGCAATGATGCATTGCCATTGGTGTGTGCACACAGTCAGATCATACACACATGGCCGTCAGGCTGTTTCAATAAAGCTTTGACACTTGGCTGTCGAGAATTTTCACCCACTACAAAACAGCCTTCTTGAAATTGTTTCCAACCCTTTAAAAATATGAAGACCCTTCGTAGCTCATGGGCCATATAAAAACTAGAGGAAAGTTGGATTTAGCCTGAGGATGAGTTTGCCAGCCTCTGGCCTAGCCAGTCTCTAATCTCTTCAAGCCGCTCAATCTGATGCCTGCTTTCCTACCCAATGACTTAGCACCTAGACACCCAGTCTCTTCCTCGGACAAGACTCACAGATCCTCAAGAGCCCCAAGAATCAACCCACGTGTTGATCCAGGTCTCGGACAGAACTCTTCTTTCCTTCTGCGAATTTTTTAAAATATCCAGTCTACCAGGATAGAATGAAAGACACACAATCATCTGATGACGAGGAAGCCCTAGGCTGTCTACCCTGGTGTTCAACTGAGGGATAGGGATGGAAGGGCGTCCGTGTTCACGCTGTGTGATAGAAAGAATAGGCGGCGTTGAAGAAAGACGTGTACTCTACATGGCTGCAGACGCCGGAGCCTGGCCTGTCCCTCCCACTTCCCATCTCCTGGGTTTCTTTCCCTTTCGCTGCTCTTGGGACGTCTCCTCAGGCGGATCGTTCCTCGCTGGTATTTTTGTTCACTTTATAGACCTGTCTAGGGTCTGGCTGAAAGCTCAGCTGCGGGGGTTCCTGCTTAGCTCTTACTGCACACTAAATGGTAACTCTTATTATTATTGCTGAAGGTCAGAGATATAGAATAGGGCAGGGAGAGACGGCAGAGTTACACACAAAAAAGCCATTAAATGCTACCCATCCCCCTAGAAATGGGAACACCCCAAATAAGGTCTAGACGCGAAAGGGGAACGCTGTGAGACCTGCCCGACACAAGTCCCCGGGAAGGGAAGCAAGTAGGTGGGGTGGGCCCTCACCTGTCCAGCTCCACCTCCTTTGTCAGCACCTTCTCACTGATGGTCTGGATGTCCTCTTCCAGCTCCAGGATCCGAGCCACATGGTCTCCCTGTTGCCGGCTCAGAACGTCCCTCTCTTCGGTGAGCTCTCCGTGGGACCGGGAAAGCCCCTGGAATTCAGGGTGCCCCAGGAGAATTGGGAGGCTGAGATTCACCTCTCAAAGAGTAGAACAAAGGCTTAGAAGGCGCAGGGCAGAGTGTGACTGCCGCCACACCTCTACTCCCATAACCTTCCTTAAAAAAGGAATTGTGAGGGCACCCCCCCACTTCTAAATGGGGACCTCTATAACCCACACCCCCACCCCCCTTTTCAGAGAGCTGAGGTTCATTACAAATTTTGGCTGTGACTCCTACCATACCAAGTTCAATTCCACTTGTTGTTCCTTAAACTATTTCCTTGGGGCTGAAACCATTCTAAAAGGGGGCTAGCCTTGCCCCTTTACCCTCTTGCCTGGGTCCAGGTCGGGGACTCGGGGTGAGCAGTCAGCCTCTGGCCCTGCTGGCTCATCTCGTACCTTGTACTGCTCCAGCAGCTCCGCCCGCTCCTGCCTGGCAGCGGCCAGTGTGGCCTCCAGCTCCTGCACCCGGCTCCTCAGCTCTGTCACCTCGCCCTCCAGCTGCAACTTCACCTGCATCAGGTCGTTCCGCTCCTGCTGGCTCTCGTCCAGCTGGTTCTAGAGGGGCAGGATGAGGAGGGAGGTGGGCTGGGAAGCACTCATCCGAGGTCCTGGCCTCCGCCCTGCCCAGAGGCACTTCTGGTTGGGGGCGTTTCTCCCAGGTCCTGGTCAGACCCACCGGCTCCAGGCATCCTTTACTGCCCATCCTTCTCATACCTTCTTCCCACCCTAGGCCTGGGTGGCTCCCTCACCCAGTGATTCCGGAAATTCTCTTCTGGCAGTTTTCCTCACCTTATACAGACCAAAGGAAAGCTGCTCTAACCTTACCCAGTCTGCTCTGGAATTGGCTAGATGGGTTCAATTTCTCCTACCTACGTGACCTTGTGGGGAGAAAGATGAGGCTTTCTACTCTCAGGAAGACTGAGTCTCAGAAACGCACTCGGGCGGCTTTACCCTACCCGAGAGGGTCACGGAGTTGACTCGACTTGGTGGCAATGGGCAGTAGTAGTAGTAGAAATACGTGACCTTGAACACACGTCTTAACTTCTGAATGTCTGTGCTCTCACATGGAAAGTGACCTGTGAACCTGGTTGGTGAAGGTTTCAAGGCAGAGTAATGAATGTGAGGACCGTTCAGACTATGGGGTGAACCAGCTGCCAATGAGTCAATTCAGACTTAGGGCAACCCACGCGTCAGAGCAGAACTGGGCTCCACTGGGGTTCCAGTGGCTGAATTGCTGAAAGGAGGATGCCAGCCCTTTCTTCTGAGGCGCTGCTGGGCACATTAACCACTCACACCACCTGGGGACTCCAGAATAGGCAGTAGGAGCCTGCCTATCTCTGGCTTATAACACTTTCCTTTTCGCGTGTTAAGGAGCTTTGGTGGCATAATGGACAGGCGTTGGCCTGCTAACCACGAGGTCAGTCGTTTGAAGCCACCTCCTGCTCGGAGGGAGGAAGCTGGGCTTTCTCCTCCTGTAAAGAGTGACAGCCCCGGGAGCCGACAGGCAAGTTCTCCCCTGTCCTACAGGGTCACTATGAGTCGGAAGCGGCTCAGAGGCACCGAGAGTGACTTTTGCTGGTGCCGTGTGTTCCACAGACGAGACGGTGTGTCTGCTTCACAGACAAGCTACTCAGTCTCATGCTCTGCGGGCCTGCCTTCCTGCTTGGAGAAAAAACTTCCTTCCCACCTGCCCTGTTCCTTGCAATCCCTGCATTCAGGAAGTCTTTGCTAATATCCACCTTCACTCCCTCATTCCTCTCAGAAAAACATGACAGGCCATGGATATAATTTAAAATTTCCTAGTGGCCATTTTTTTCATGAGGAAAAAAAAATAGGGAATAAAAAATGAATCCAGAATGCTTTCTCTAACCCAGTATATAAAAAATTCGTATCTCAATATGTAATATAAGAAACTAATGAGGTATTTTACATTTTTTTTTCCTTATAGGAAGTCTTCCAAATCCAATGCGTATTTTACCAACAGAGCACATCTCCATTGGAACCAGCAACATTTCAGAGGTTCAAAGCCACAGGTGGCCACTGGCTCCCGCACTGGACAGCGGGCGCACGTCTGGGCTGTTGACCTGCCCCCACTCCACACTTGCCCTGGGGATGGGTCTCATTCCCTTCTTCTGAACCATCTGTAGAGTAGTCGCCTCCACCCTCCACCCTTTGGGCCTTCGTCTAGGACCCAGGGCAAGATACAGCACATAGGAAAAAACCCAAACCAGACGTACTGACATCGAGTGCTGCCAACTCAGAGCCACCCTCTAGGACGGCATGGAACTGCCCGTCACATCTTTTCAGGAGTGAGCACCTTCTCTTTCTCCGGAGGAGCTGCTGGTGGTTTCAAAGGGCAGCCCAGGGTGTCACCCACTAGGCCACCGGGGGGCCCAGCACTTAGAGAAGGCAGGCTCGAAAAGTTCTTTTGCAAAATGGTGAGATGCATGGGCCTGTGGGTGGCTTGCCCTCCCATCCTACATGCTTGCGTGTGTTTGTGTTAGAGTGAGACTCTGCTGATGGCAAGCCTGGGTCTGATGCCCAGTGATGTCTTCAGTTGAAGGTTCAGCCAAGGGGAAGGTGTTGGAGGAGGAAGGGGCCCTTCACCAAGAGGTCCTCCCGTTCCCAGGGTAGGAGCCACTTTTGTTGCTCTGTACTCGCCTGTAGCACAGTTGCCTTGGGGACAACCAGCAGCATGTCAGAGCCACCATCAGCCTCCTCCAGGGTGACCAGTTCATCCATGGGCCTTGGCTCTCGGAACTGGAAAGGAGGGCTCCGCCCACACACCCGGCCCTGGCGGTTCACGTATCGGAACTGGTAAAGCTGGGCTCCTGGTCTGGGCAGGTAGCTGGCTGTGAGTAAAAGAACGGACACAGGATCCCAACTATGACCTAGGCTCACAGGTCTCCCTGCCCCTTTGTGCACTTGCACTCTGACCCCTGCTCTATTTTCCACATACGGCTTTCTCCACTTTCCCCCTCCCACAGGTTAACGTCTGTTCCCTGGCGTACTTTTATCTCTCCTCTCTGCCAAGTGCTCTCCTGTCTGTCTTTCCGAAACCTACCCCCTCTTATCATCATCACCACACTAGTTACCATTTATCGAGTACTTACTCTGTACCAGGCACTGTGCTAACAGCTTTACACATGTAACTGAAAAACCCCTATTGTCTCCATAGGTCGACCGTCGCTTTTACAGTTAAGACAACACAGGCACACAGAGAAGTTGTTATTTGCCCAACATCAAAGAGTTGATATGTAGTAGCGCTGAAATTCGAACTTGGGTCTTTCTAATGAGTCTCTTTTCTCCATAGACGATGCTACCACATCCTCTTCCCTGTTCTCTAGTTCCGTAAGAGAAATTCCCCCTCCTCTGGGTAGGAGGCTGGGCTAGATGCCCTTAGAAATTCCTTCTTACCGGAGACTCTAATGATTCTGTGATCATCCCATGACCGTGTGCCTACCAGAGTCTGTTGGATATATTTCTCATTAAATCTATTCGCACGTATTTTTCCTTATCCTCTGGGCCTAAGTCGTCTGAACTTCCACCCCACTGGCTTTGCCCTCCTGGTTTCCCACCTTCCCTTGTACCTTGGAACTGGACACTGGCATGGATAGGTGAACCATCAGCTGTGCTTTCAGGCACTGAAGACCACACAAATGTATGGTAATCCCGAACACAGCCAGCTTCTACCTGCGAAAACCCAAGACAGGGACAGGTAGGACGATGAAACCACCACCCATAGGTGGTAGGAGGGGCTAAGGAACTGGATAGGGGTTAGGACAGGGTTACGGTGGCAAAGGTGATGAGAGGCAGGGTAAGTGGAAGGACATTATCATGTTGGGGAGAGCTTTGCTTCGACAGATGGCCCCTGCTATCTGACATCTCTTTCCCTTTGTCCACAGTAAGTAGAAATCCCAGAAATTAGTCATTCCCTTTATCCCAACCAACCTATAGGCCATAATCCCAGGGCAAAAGGGGTTACAGGAATACCTTGAAGATGCCAATCCAGTCGCTGGCACTAGGCATGGTGCCTGGGGGAAGGGTGTAATGACACTCCACCTTGGTATTGGGGATATAGGTCCTGGCCACATTCAGAAAGTTGACTCCACCCCGGGATGATGCCCGGCTTAGGGATGATTCTTCCATCGTGCCCTTGGGAAATGTGCCTTCCTGTGAAGGAAAGGGTTAACATTCCCGTTAGGGATTCAGTTGTGTCTCCCATCCCCCTGCCCCTGAGCTAGCCAGGCACGTAAAAGAGCTATGTGTAAGTCCTAATTCCTGTACCTAGAAATATGACCTGGCTTAGAAACAGGGGGTTTCTTCTATCGTTTTAGTGAGGCTACACACAAGTAGGAGGTTCTCACCGAACAGCTTTTGAACAGTGGCACACACATAATCAGGAGAAAGAGACATAATGTGACCACTGGTCTGCAAGCAAAGAAATGTCAAGGGTTGTCAGCAGTCACTAGCAACTTGGGGAGGGGCATCGAAGGGATCGGTATAGCGGAGACCCTGACTTAGACCTTTAGCCTCTAGCACTCTGGGGAAACGATTTTCTTTAGAGCTATCAATATGCGTTTGCTTCCTATCAGCAGCACTGGGGAACGAAGGCAATCCTAAGGCCTTTCCATTCTGTCTCCCTCCACATTCTTCTCTCCATCACCGGCCCTGCCATTACACCTGGAGATGAAGGTATGTATGTTTTCCAGCACCTCAGAGTCACTCTCAGTTCTAGGACATAAGTCTGGCCTTTCAAGTCTGTCACTCTGTACCCTCTCTGGCTCCTTGACCCTTCCCAGAATTCTGATCTCTCTCATTTCTGCTTCCTTTGCACTGGCCAGTGGACCAGGAGTCACCATCTCTCAGTCTCTCCTTTTCTATCTCTTAGTCTCTTTGAGTGGGCTGCATTCTTCAGTCTCCAGCTTCCCATTCACCTCCCACGTCTCTGGGCTCTTGAATTCCAAACCCAACTGAGGTGTGAGGCCCTCTCATTCTCAGCAGGTCTCCAGGCTCACTCCGGAGGTTGTTGACCCATCTGAGTACAGGAAAGAGTCCTGACACTCAAAACACTAGCCTCTGTAAGGAACGATTTGGCCTGCAAATGTGGAACATGGCCAGAGGGGACCAACATCCTGATCCTCGGGTTCTTGAGCTCTCGGTCCTCTTCCCAACTCTGCTTGTCCACCTTCAGGGCTTCTAGAGAAGCAACCCCCTGCGCTTGAACTCGAGAGAAAAAGGGACTGAGTGGATGCAAGGAAAGGCAGCTTCTAGCCTTCAACTTCGTCACTCCAGGAAGTTAAGAATTCTGGAGGTGGTAGCTTCAAGGGTGGAGTGAAATACTTGGCAGGAATGTGGTGGTGTGAGGAGAGAGAAAGTGGGGGTTGGGAGCCAGCAGAGTCCCACCCACTGGGGAGGGCACAAGATTGGAAGATGGGGCCCTGAGAAGAGAGAATATCTATTTAATGTTGAGGGGCGGCGGCGGGAGGGAAGAGTTCAAAAAAGAACCTAACGCTCTTCTCTCCAGATCTTGTCTGGAGCAGGACTAGAAACCTACTGGGTGTTAGTCCTGTTGGACAGGGTGTTAACCCTGCTCTAGTATCTTCCTATTTGCTTTCTACTCACTTTGGTTTCAATTTTAAGTGCCTGAATTCTTCCCTATACTTGGGTTGGTCCTTGGAGACATGCTAGAGGATGCGATTAGGAGGAAAGGGCCTTCCAAGTTAGCTTGGGGGAATTCATTGGAAAAGATGGAGGTAGGGTGAGAACAGCTAACAATATTCAGAACCCAGAGAATGCCTCAGCCCGGCACAATGAGACAGCCCCCTTCTTCTGCCCCTCCCCTCGGGCTGACTAAACTGCATCCTGTGTCAGCTTCGGCTGACAGCGTCCAATCAGCCAGTGCCACTACTCATGTGCACGCCCCCAAACATCACAGACCCACTCCCGGTCCAAGTTAGACACTTTCAAAGAAAACAGAAAGTCGCTGGAAAAGGAAAGGTCGGTGAGCGCTACAGAAAGGAATGACCAGAGATCGGGTTCAGCTAAGGGGTTCTTCTGGCTCTTCCCTTCTGAAAACAAAACAAAACGACTTAATTAAACTACTCCCTATTTCCCCTAAATACACTTCTCTGGCTTTCTCATAGTGGTGGTGGTGGTGGTGGGGATACATTTCCCTCAAAGATCTAGCCCTGGAGAACCCCCAAGTCCTCACCACAAATACAATCCGTAACAGCTGGAAACACCCCCAAGTGCTGAGAGCAAGCTCTCGACACCCAGGGGGTCGGTGTGTGGCCAGATGCCGATGTTCCCGCAGGGGCCTTCTCCCCACTCCGTGGGGCTCTGGACATTCTACGACTTCGAAGGTCTCCCCACCCAAGGCTTCAGCGTAGGGAAGGCCTTTGGATTAGCGGGTGGGGGTGGGACGCGAAGGGCGGTTTGTGGGGATTAAGTGTTGCCTGAGAGAAAATGAGCAAAGATTTCAGGCCCCGGCTTCCCTAAGCGTACCAAGCTTTATGGCGGACTGAAAGGCGAAGACTGTCAGGGAGCCCCTCTCACCTGCTTAGGGCAGCCCCCTGAAACGGAGAACTCCCCCAAAAGTGAGGGTAAGCCTTTCCCGTAGCGGTTGTTAAAATCTAAATACCCTCGCGTCCGCCTTCGACCGTTTTTAATCCTTTAGCAGACTGGAAAGTGGAGTGACCCTCTGACGAGATTGCCCCCAAATTAGGCCAAGTTTCTTACCCACAGACGGATCAGCTGTTTCCCTCACCTTTCACCAACAACACAAACAGCACTCCGACTTGAGGGCGAGGAGGGAGAAGCGTGAGCTGGATTCTGGGATTTGTAGTTCTTTCGTGACCTTGTAGTTCCTTCGCGACCGAATCAGTTCCGACGTGGGACTACGAATCCCAGGAGGCTGCGCACAACCGGGGCGGAGCAGAAGGCGGCCGTGGCTGCGGCCTCACCACAGCAACCTGGGAGGCGTAGTTCCCGCTTCGATGACTGGGAGCGAGGGGGTGGCCATCAAAGGACTTCATATCCCATGATGCCTCAGGAGAGATGGCAGGCTGGTGGTAGTTGCTGGTTTGCAACGTGCATTGTTGGGGGTGGGGAGGATTTACGACTCTAACGCCTTCTGTTTAACGCTTTGCAGTTGTCAGAATGTTGACTGGTACGACCCCGTGAGATAGGTACTATTGTTATCCACAGTTTACAAATCAGAAAACTAAAGCTCAGAACGGTTAAGGGATCCGTCTAAAAGATCAGTGCTATGCAATGGTCGAACTCCACCAGGATAGCTTTGACTCCAGATATAAAATTATTGTTTTTTTAATTGAATACTTTTATTGGGGACTCTCAAAGCCCTTATCACATTCCATACATTCATCCATTGTGTCAAGCACATTTGTACATGTGCTGCTATCATTTTCAAAGCATTTTCTTTCTACTTGAGCCCTTGATATCAGCTCCTCACTTTTTTACCTCCCTCCCTCATGAACCCTTGATAAATTATAGATTATTATTTTTATTTTTTTTAACATTTTATTAGGGGCTCATACAACTGTTATCGCAATCCATACACACATCAATTGTGTAAAGCGCATTTGTACATCATTCTCAAAACATTTTCTCTCCACTTAAACCCCCGACATTAGGTCCTCATTTTTCCCCTCCCTCCCCGCTCTCCCCTCCCTCATGAGCCCTTGATAGTTTATAAATTGGTATTTTGTCATATCTTGCCCTGTCCGACGTCTCCCTTCACCCACTTTTCGGTTGTCTGTCCCCCAGGGAGGAGGTCACATATAGTTCCTTGTAATCGGTTCCCTCTTTCCTACCCATTCTCCCTAAATTATAGATTATTATTTTCATATCTTACAAAGTCCTCTGTCTCCCTTCACGCTCTTGTCTGTTGTTCATCTCCTTGGGAGAAAGCTGTATGTCGATCCTTGTAATTGATTCACCCTTTCTCCCTCCAGTACACTAAAGTGTCCCACCAATTAGGGTATGGGAAACTTATACCTGTGACTTAGTAAAAGCCGTTTTCTTCTGATCATTTGAGGGTTGCAGCCAACGGCCTGTCAGTCCTCACAGATCTGAACTGAGCTCCCCCAGAGGGGCCTCGGAGCCTAAAAGGAGAATACATTGTCTGGGGGTGGTGGTGGGGAGGGCAATGGAGTGGGTGAATGAAGTTGAAAAGGGAGCTCAGCATAATTCAGGACTTGTCACAGCTCACAAGCCACAATGGGTCCTGTTTGTCCCATTTAACTGGCTTCAACTGATTAGGATAACAATATATGTTATTGCTCTGGTATTATTTAGGGGAGGTAAAAGAGATTCATGCTCTCCTCAACCTCTAAGCCAAGTTAAAGTACTGGGCAACCTTCCCTGCCACTCCAGATAGTCTGAGGAATTCAAAATGAATCTCTTTCCCCTGTCCCTGTTTTAGGGGATTATGGTCTAAGAATTTAGCTGCTCTTCCTAGGTGCTTGCTTTTCATTTTCTGCTGCACTAAGCTATGGGACCTTCGGCCTTTTCCAACTTTTCTGGGTGGTATTTTGCTTTTATGACTGTGAATGGGGTGTCTTGTGCCTGCCTTTGGGGGCCTTTCATCTGAAGATCTCCCAGCACTTAATCAGTCACTGGGCTGTACAACAATAAGATGACATGTCCCTGTCATTAAGTCAAGATTTATGAGTTAGAAAACAAACTACTAGATGAGGACATGACTCAAAGTCCTAGGGTGGGGCCCACTCAAATCTCCGGTGTTCTTGGTATTTGACTTCTACTCAGAGCAAGCTGTAATTTCATCAGGAGCTACAAATAATAGTTTCCTTATATTGAGGACTTCTAATGTGTTAAATGATGCTTAGAGCTTTTTATATTTAATGTAACATCCTTATAGAGTAAGCCTTCTTATTAGCTCTAAGGTGGCAAAAAAGTGCCAAGGTTGGCAGTTCAAACCCACCAGCCACTCTGTGGGGGGAAAAGGAGGGTATCTGCTTCCATAAGCTTTACAGTCTTGGAAATTCTATATGAGTCAGAATTCACCCAATGGCAGTGGGTTTATTATTATTATCCCCCAGGCCCCGGTGGTACAGTGGTTAAGTGCTCAGCTGTCAATTGGACTCAGAAATGGCTCCAGGGAGAAAAGATGTGGCTTCTGTAAGGATTGTACCCTCTAGGGAAGTTCTGTTCTGTTCCATAGCTTCACCATGAGTTGATGTCAACTCCATGGCAACAGCTTTTTTTTAATCCCCATTTTACATATGATGAAATTGAGGCATAGATAATTAAGTGACTTGTCCAGCCAGCTGGTAAGTGGTAGCATCAGGATCTAGACACCATTAGTCAGTATATCATATTCCCATCCTAGCAACTCCTGGCATGTGAAACTAACTCCCATCGATCTAAGGAAGAGTGCTATTAATGAAGCAGGCTATAAATGTTCACCAAGCACTTATGGGCAAGGCCTAAGGCGATTTGAAACATTCAGTCAACAAATAGGTGTTAGGTGTCATGCTAGGTATTCATTAAATTTTGCTGGAAGAATGACTATAAAATATAAATATTTTAAAGTTGGACTAATTTTGGGTGATTTAGCAGGACAGGGGCAGGGACTGGGTAAACTTATTCCAGGCTGAAGCAAAGATTCAAAGGTCAAATTTTTTTATTTTTTTATTTTTTTTCAAATTTTGTTTGTTTTTAAGATCATTTTATTGGGGGCTCTTACTGCTCTTATAGCAATCCGTACATCAATTGTATCAAGCATATGTGTACATGTGTTGCCATCATCATTTTCTAAACATTTCCTTTCTATTTGAGCCCTTGGTATCAGCTCCTCGTTTCCCTTCTCCTCCTACCCTCGTAAACCCTTGATAAATTATAAATTACCATTATTTTCTGTCCTGAATTCCGTGTGTCTAGAGCTCTTATCTGTACTGTGTCCATGCTCTGGTCTAGCTGGGTCTGTATGTAGAACTGGGTCATGATAGTGGGGGAGAGGAAACATTAAAGAACGAGAGGAATGTTGCATGTTTCGTCGGTGCACCCTGGCTGGCTTTTCCCTTCCTTGTGACCCTTCGGTGAGGGAATGTCCAATTGTCTACAGATGAGCTTTGGGTCTTCACTCCAGCCCCCCTCATTCACACTGGTATTATTGTTTGTTTTGGGGTCGTCTGATGCCTTATATCTGATCCTGTCAACACCTTGTGATCACACAGGCTGATGTGCTTCTTCCATGTGGGTTTTGTTGCTTCCAAGCTAGATGGCCACTTGTTCATCTTCAAGCCTTTAAGACCCCAGATGCTATAGCTTTTAATAGCCGGAAGTCGAATCGCGAAGTGGCGAGGGTTCACTGTATATGTGCCTGTATTTATACCTCTATAACTGTCTTTTGCCTCCTAGTTCTTTCCTCTATTTCCTTTTACTCTCCTCCTGTTCCACTATTATGTTCAATCTTCATTCTGCTCTCAGTAATTCCTCTCGGCTACGCTGCACTTGGTCAGGCCCCACCAGGCATTCTATGCCCCCATCACCATTGATTTTAGATCACTTGTTGCTCCCATGTCCCTGGGTTTGCTGGCTCCCCCCTTCCAAAGATCAAATGTTATTGGAATCTGAGAGTCACCGAACAGCAAATGAAATCCAACATTTTTTTTCCAAACTCAGATGATTCATAACGACTGAAGCATTGTGTTGAGAAGGATTCAAAGGAGAGAGAGCGAGAGCTGCGATTAATGTATAATGCCTGGCATGTACTGCAGATGGGCAATGGCTGTTGCCTGTTGTCATGTAAGTAAGTTACAGGATCTTCTGTAGAAGGAGCACATGTTCCATTTCACTGACTTTAGGCTTGCGTGTTTCAGGTTTTGACCAATAGGATGTGAGTTGATGTGACTTACGCCGTTTTCTCATTCATCCTCTCTGCCACTTTGGGTCTTCTTCCCGAGTCCTGGAATGAGAAGACTCATAGAGCAGCGCTGCGACCTCTGCATGCATGTAAGTCAGAAACAACTCTTTGTTGTTGTAAGCCACTGAAATGTGGGGGTTGGTTGTTATTGCAGCAAAGCTGCTGAATAAACCAGGATGAGTCAGAAAAGTTTGAGAGAGATAAGTTGTGTTAGTCTGAGATGACTGGAGAAAACAAATCCAGAGACACTCATATGTATGTAAGAGAGAGTTCCATATCCAAGACTAATTGTATATTAAGAAACCATCCCAGCCCAGTCTAGATCAAGTCCATACATTTGATAATAGCCCATATGTCCAATACTAGTCCATACATTTTTCTACAGACTCACACAGCACATGCAATGATGCCGACAGCAGGAAGACCACAGGCCAGTGGGTGAAAAGCCTCGTGGAAGCCTCTCAGCGCTGGTGTGGCTCTCCGTATGGCCCCACCAGCTCCAGCGTTCTGGCTGCCATCAGCATAGCTTCATGTGGCTTGTCAACAGAATCAGAAGCAGAGAGTGTGTGCGGCCCCCAGGGAGGAAGAGAGGAAAACTCCTAGAATCCTCATGAGAAGGCCCTGCCCACACAGAGGCATCATTGGCTCTGACTTGATTGACAGGCTAGACCGCACCCCATTATGTAACTGCTACATCAGTTTAAGCAAGAGTGAGGAGACCCTTGGAAGCAGAATCTGCTATGTGTTTATCAGAACCTCTTTCTTTCCATGGACACCCAGTGGGATCATATTTTTCAGTTTCTCTACAAGTCATGTCGTCTACTGGTAGACCTGGCCCATGAAACCTCCCCATGGTGGGAGGTTTTTTGTTTTTTCCTTTCTGGCCTGATGCACATGACCTTGGGGACAGTGACCTTG